TCTATATGCATCTCTTAATGTATTTCTGTCATTTTAGCCTACAATTTTTAGCCCCTGAAATATTTTTATACTTTATAAATATGTATCTATTTTATTTATATCACTGTAGTTCTGAATGTACTTTGACTTTCTGTCTGTTGTACTAAATTGAAATTAAATAAAAAAAAAATCAGAATTCTAACAGAATGGAAAGTGAATTTGGAGACTCCCTAAATATTGATTTGCAATTAAACCTTGAATTGCATGACAAAAATGGCATGTGCCCAAACCGAACATGATTTCTCATTGTTCACTGAGTTGTCGCATTGTTATAAAACAAATGAATATGCAAATGAATATGATTTCCATGTTTAAAAATGGCAAGTGACATTTCATAAAGTATATTTAGACACATATGATAATGCCATGAAAGTGATCTCAGGTCAGTCACAGGTGTCAGGAATCACCTCAGGCTACTGGTGAAATTCTGTGAACTGGTCCTACTGGTTCATGGGACATTTATATGTTTCCCCTTCACACGTTCAGACCAGTCGTGCAAGATGTGCAGAAGTTTTCACATTTTTCTAGTCTTTGTTTTCTCCTGTTTTTGCATTTTGCATTTCGAGTTTGGGGTCAGTAAGATGTTAAAAAATATTTTTGAAAGAGTCTCTGATCCTTACCAATGCTGCAATCATTTGATCAAAAATACAGTAAAATTATGAAATATTATTAGAATTTAAAATAGCTGTTTTCTATGAGAATATCTGTTCAAATGTAATTTATTTCTGTGATCAAAGCTGAATTTTCAGCATCATTACTCCAGTCTTCAGTGTCACATGATCTTCAGAAATCATTCTAATATGCTGATTTACTGCTCAAGAAACATTTCTGATTAATATCAATGTTGAAAACAGTTGTGCTGCTGAATATTTGTGTGGAGACTGATTTTTCAGGATTCTTTGAGCTCGAAAGTCGTGGGGAAGTCGTGGCCTAATGGTTAGAGAGTCAGACTTGTAACCCAAAGGTTGCGAGTTCGAGTCTCAGGTCCGGCAGGCATTGTGGGTGGGGGGAGTGAATGTATATAGCACGACTGAGGTGCCCTTGAGCAAGGCACTGAACCCCGAACTGCTCCCCGGGCGCCGCAGCATAAATGGCTGCCCAGTGCCCACTGCTCCAGGTGTGTGTTCACTGCTGTGTGTGTGCACTAAGGATGGGTTAAATGCAGAGCACTAATTCCTAGTATGGGTAACCATACTTGGTCACATGTCACGTCACTTTTTTTTTTTTCTCTCACTTTTGATCAATTTAATGCATCCTTTCTGAATAAAAGCATTGATTACTTTCAGAAAAAAACACATTTCTGAATAGTAAAGTATCTCAATAGATCTGAAAACCTCTTCCTGTTTGGGTAGATTGTTTCCTGTGGATTCATTCTGCTTCTCAGCAGATAATGTTGCTCTCGTCGACACTTCCTGTAATTCAAGTCCAAATTAAACCTGACTTTATGTTGTGGTGTATTGTATCAGGACTGGATCAGATCGCAGCTGGAATATAGCTTGTATCTGACACTGCATAATAAATCACTGGTGTAGCTGACGCGTGTATGTCGTGTGAGTTAAGGGTCCACGGGTCACCTGTTTGTTTTCTGGCTGGTGGTAAACCTGCTGAGGACTGTGTGTGAGAGTGTGTCAGGATTGGTGAATTGGCTTCCTTTAAAACGCACAAGGTGGAATTTGAATGGAATCTACAGGAAGTAGATTCCATTCAATTGGAATGACAGTACGATGAATTTAGTGCATTGCAATTCAAGGAATTTGAGCAAAATTGCACAGAGTTTAGTTACAAAACATAAATGAATTATTAATTCAGATGGGATCATTTCTTTGCAGACTGTTAATAAAGACATTTCTTTGTAATTGTGTGAATGTGTGTGTGAATCAGAAACTACTTTTTGTGCCCTATGCAATTATTTATTTATTTTCCGGATTTGTATTTTTCTGGATTCTGTTTATTTCAATTTAAATGGACTCTGTTTTAATGGTTAAATTAAGTTGTATTAATCAAAAGCATGTCTAATTAATTAAAATCATGATGTTAATTACATTTAACAATAACATTTTTATTACATTTTTAATCAAAATTACACTTTTAGGGACGTATGAAATGTTTTATTTTTTCTTAAATTTTGTTTTATTTTCTTTCCAAATTCTGTATTTTCAGTGTTTTTTTTTTGTTGTTTTTTTTTAATTCCATTTTAATGGTTTAATTAATTAATTGATCCAATTTTATTTCAAATTTCAAAGCTTAAATGAATTTAAATCAAGAAATTAATTGAATTCATAAAAACAGCTTAATTTATATATTTTTAACAATAATAGGACACTATGATTTTTATCTATTTATTTATTTTTATTTTTTTTATTTTAT